GAAAAAAACTACAAAGGGAAGTGAATATATGTCATTAACATTTGCTCTGCAAATAAGCCAGCTTAGTAATGTGTGTGTGTGCGTGAGAGAGAGAGAGAGAGAATACGATAATGACACAAGGGTCTCAGACAGAAGCTGTCTGGAAGCTTAAAAAAACTATCTTAGATGCACTGTCTATACTGCAGGTAAATTAAGGGTCAAATGTGAATCTGAAAGTTGTTTAAGCTTTCTGAATCCTTGATAACACCAAGACGGCAGGATGTTGCATTCAACCAAACTAATAAGGTTCATGAGAAGCATTAAGCTGCTGGTGATGCTCTTGGCCTGCGACTGCAGAGCTGAGATTCTGCAGGGGGAGAAATATATACTCCCTCAATAATCACTCGACAGCTCTAATAAATTGAGGGAAAATAATATGTTGGCCATTTACTCTGTGCCCTTTGTTTACTGCACAAGGAGAACTGTTCAGCTGTACTTATTTTTAAAAAGTTTCTCCGTATAAGAACGGTTTGTCATTGTGAATAAACCGCGAAATTTGTTTCTAATGGATAGGTTAATTAAATTGTTTAATTAAGCAATAAAACAATATGGGGTGTAGCAAGATGAGACCCCCAAGGCATAACACTAGGCAGGAGCTGGACTGAATCCTGACTGCTAGACAACAGACTTGGCTTACTTGTACTGACCCTGACCTGCGTTTCCTGACCTTTGCTTGCGTGAATTTGTCCCTGGACTTTGGACATGATGTACTGACTTGCTGCCAGGTAGGCCAGGGCTCAGGATGCTTTCCCACCTAGCCTCCAAGGTTGTAGGAAGGGATAAAGTTTGAGAGTAAAGATTTTTTTGTAAATCCGAGAAGCAAAATTTTAAAGCACTTTATTAGCTCTACTTAAAAAGGGCAGAGATCCATTTCACCAGATGAAAGTTATGTCCAGCAGCATTATCTCCACTGTAATAAAATTGACTCTGCTTGATCACACACACACACACAAATTCTGTTAGAGAGAGGAAGAAATGCTCACTTAGAAATGCTCGATGTCTATACAGTGGTACCTCGGGTTACAGACGCTTCAGGTTACAGACTCCGCTAACCCAGAAATAGTACCTCGGGTTACGAACTTTGCTTCAGGATGAGAACTGAAATCATGCGGCGGCGGTGCGGCGGCAGCAGGAGGCCCCATTAGCTAAGATGGTACCTCAGGTTAAGAACCGTTTCAGGTTAAGAACGGACCTTCAGAACGAATTAAGTTCTTAACCCGAGGTACCACTGTATAGCCAGTTTCATGTGTCACTTTAAGGGTCCTCCCCCTCAATGATGGTTGAAATAATGCAAATTGCCCCTCTCTGTGCCCTCCCTCTCATTTGTACCGCAACACTGTGAACCATGTTCAATATCAAACAACCACATATAGCTCTGGGGCTATCGGAAGAGCAACTCTGTGTGACTTAATTTTTCACAGTTAGATGCCTCAGGCCTATATTAGTGAAATGACGTCTGTAACTGTTTTTATTAGTATGTGCTCATAGACTATAATTAAAAGCTGAAAGGAGGAGAAGAGAGCCATCTAAATCAGTTAGCCAGACACCAATTGCTTGGGAAAGGGTGCAACGTGCATGAAATAGAGAAGAGGCCGCTGAAAAACTTAACCCTGTGAATAAGCATCTGCTCTCTAAAAAATAATTGATTGCGGGGATGGGGGGAGAAGTGTCCTCAGCATTGAGGAGCGCATTGGAAACCACCATATATTCAGTTTTATTCTCTTTAGCAATGAAGGCTATGGACAGTTTTGAATAAAGGGGTTTCAACAGAGGTCACAAAAAGAAGAAGCAAGGGAAGAGGCAGAGATTCCCCACTCTTAAAGGATCATCTCACGTCTTATACTCCCAACGGATCGTTGTGCTCTGCAGAACTATCATATCATGGGGTCCATTCTGTTGTGTTTTCTATCGCCTTCTTGGTGGCTACTGGACGTCAACCTTGCTTCTTTAACAAGCATTTTAAATACAGAACTTGATCCCAGTTTGTATTGGGTTTTGTTTTTTATTATTATAATGGTTTTATATCTTAAATTGTGCAAGTGCTTTTATTGTGTAATCACTTTGAGATTTTTATGGGAAATGGAAATAAATAAATAAATAAAGAAGTTGTTTTTCCAGAGCTCAGACCTAGACCTCTAACCTCAGTCACTCTGCGGGGAGAGGACCCACTGCTTTTCACAGACCTAGATTATATTATTCTTTGCTGGAGGCAGTAGAGAAAGGAATGTCCTCTTTTGAAACCTGCAATCTCCCTAACAACCCCCCCCAAAAAAAACCCTCCCGAGAGGATTTTCGCCCTGTTTTCACCTGTTTTGTTCTTCTCCACCCAGTCACAACACATTTATTTTTAGGAGACACTTTTAAAGCCATGAGTTTGGTGGAGTCAGACAGCATCAACAGAGGTCTGGTCACTGCCACTAAGCCATGGGAGGACACCAATGAATGAGTCCATGCATGGTAGTCTCACAGTCAGAGGGCCTTTGCAAAAGAAGGACAACAGCAGCAGTGGCAGCCAGGTGGGCAAAAAATAGTGCCTTTAAGGAAGAGGACAAATGTTGTGGAGGATGGGGGTGATAAAAAAATCAATTCTCCTGTCAGACTGGGAATATCCCCTCATTCACCCAGTTTAGGACATTCCACCATTCTTCAGCAGAGTTTCTCTTCTTTCAGCAAAATAAGCGGCTCACGTATATGTCAAACAAAGCTTTAATAATAAAGAAAATAACACAATATCTGAGAGAAGCCAAAACTACATCATGAGTCAAGAATGACAGTTGGTCTCTCTAACTGAACTTAACTGAACACCCGAAGGGAGGGGTCGATTCTGGAGCAAAACACAAATGCCCTGCCCACCAAATGCCAGGCATTCTACTATTCAAATTAGGCTCACGTTTTTCTTATCCACCGCGGGTGCCAAGTTGGCAAAAATAGTGCCTTTACGGAAGGGTACAAAAGCCCTTTTTGGAGGGAGGGTGGTAGAAGTCCTGTCCTCCCCACAACAATTTTAAGCGCCCTCCTTCTGAATGGTTTCAGGCTCTGCCCTGAAAAGATTTGCCTCCTCCACTTAATTACACTTGGGTGTTTTGTGAAAAATAGCTTCCTTAAAAAAAAAAGAAAGGGAAAAAAGGCCTAAACTTTGAAGTGAAATGAAATAAACCCCGCTCTAAAGAGAGTGGCCAGCATGTCTGACCATCCTTAAGCAGCTCTTCTAATTCTGGCCCCATTAACCTTTTCATGTCCAAACCCTCAGACATACAACATTACTTACATGAAACGGTTTCCTGGTAGAGTTCAGCCATTTTTATGCAGGTTTAACTTTCAGGGCTTGAAAAAGAATCTGTTTGCAAGGAGGCAGTAGTTTATAGTGAATAAGATGTTAGTGTATTTTTGCTTTGCTTGTTCGGTATTTTTTGTGGCCTGTTTATGGCTACATTTCCCATAGCTTACTGAGCAGTCAACCCTTTCCACTGTCATCACATGGTATCTGTTTTACATCTCTCCTTCCACAGCTGTTTTTTCCCCATGTTTCCTCTCGCAAACTGAATTACACAAGAGGCGCAGGAAGACACATGGCACTGTTATAAAAGTACAGAAATCATGCACACATCATAAATCAGAAATCTACTACTACTACTAGACTAGGCAGGTGAAGGACAAGATGTCTTCTCCCCACTTCACATACTGAACTGGACTAGCAGTAGAATCTTACTTCAACCCTGGTTGGGGGACAGCATTCCCCACCACATCTCAGGTGAACAGGGCAGATTAGGGGCAGCCCAGGAGAGGCTGTGTGACAACAAAGGGAAATGGTTGGGGTGGAGGAGGAGCTTGAATTTGATATCCCGCTTTATCACTACCCAAAGGAGTCTCAAAGGGGCTAACATTCTCCTTTCCCTTCCTCCCCCACAACAAACACTCTGTGAGGTGAGTGGGGCTGAGAGACTTCAAAGTAGTATGGCTAGCCCAAGGTCACCCAGCAGCTGCATGTGGAGGAGCGGAGACGCGAACCCAGTTCACCAGATTACGAGTCTACCGCTCTTAACCACTACACCACACTGGCTCTGTATATAGGGTATACAGATGTGGCTACATATATATATATATATATATTGCTGGTCCAGGGAAGGGAATAACTCCAAGTTGTGCAGCACTTGAGGGGAAATTGTGTCACAGAACTCAGAGGGTTCATGGAGAACTGCTGTCTGTGTCAATGTAACTTTTTGAAACTGATTTAGCGAATGGTCATCTGACAACTGCCCAGTGCTCCACTCCATAGCTGCAGAACATTAGGCTAGACCAGATCTGTGGCTAAAGACTGCAAAGCACAAGCTGTTGGTTGACTGGGGCTTTTTTGCCGTTGGGCAAAAGAGAACAAAGAGTTCACTTAGGATGGCTGTAGGAGACAGAAGGCCTACCGAGCAATGGAAGCCAGACAAACCCATGGGAAACTGAAGGAAAGGAAACAAAAAAAAAAGCCGCAGAAATTAGTCTTCCTGAAATGTTCCGCAAACAGTTCCATCACTGTGAATAACACCTACAGTTAAAGAAACATAAAGTAAATTGGGAAAGAAAGAAAGAGTCACATTAGGAAAGCCTGCTGACTGTTGCCAGTTCTCGTTGTGTATTCTGACCACAGGCTGTTAATAAATTGATGTGGAATAAAATGTACCTAGCATGCCTCTCAGCACATTTCCCTGGCAAATCTATTTTCTTATTCAGAAAACTCTAGCAAAGAAAACCCTAACTGTTGATTCTCGTCTCAAGAAATACACACACACACACACACACACACACACACACACCACAAGAGTTAGGGAGCAGACAGAAAGCAGCCAGGATGGAAACATATATAGTTGTTAAGGTTTTAAAGAGATGCCCTTTGACCTGAGCTTGCTTAGGAATCACCTTTTCCCTAATTCCAGATGTTGTGTCTGTGGTGATCTACTTACTGAGGAACACTTGGGGGGAAGAGCTCTGTGGTAGAACATCTGTTTTGCATGCAAAACGTTCCAGGTTCAATCCCAGGCATCTCCCCAGGTAGGGATGCGACAGCTCTCTGTATGAAACTCTAGAGATCCGCTGCCAATCAGGGTAGGCAATATTGATCTGCCTCTGTATAAAGGTCTGACTCAGTATGAGGCAGCTTCCTGTGTGGCTGCTGCACATGGGCACTCCAATTCATTCTCATGTTTTAGAACTACAGGTTGACAGCCAGGATAGGTTCCAGGGCTGAGCGTATCCTTTGGTCAAATTGAGTTGTAGCTCCATTGGAGGGTCCCTTGACCAGTAGGGACAAAAAACCATGTCAAATGTCAGTTCTGCCTTGGCCGTTCTTTCAACATCCCATAATTATTATTAATGGATGCTGGAAAAAATTTGCATGCAAGGAAGCCTGGTCTTTGTTTATTCCTGAGAGCTGAATGCTGGAAAGAGATTTTGGGATGAAGCTGCACATTTGCTAACTCACGCCGAACTGAGTGTGTGTCACTACCTGCCAGTCAAAGGGACAAATTGCTAGTCAGATTTTCGGGCGCTGTGCCAATGCACAAAATGGGCTACATTCACGCTACCCTCCTTTCCTGAAATGAACCTCTAGGGGCATGCTGTGCTCCATGCATTGCTATGGTTCCCATGTGGTTCTGTTGTGTACATACAGGAAAGTTCATGCTGTGCTATTTCAGAAAGAGGGCCACCACAAAAACACAGTGTGCTGCAGAAAAAAATGGGCCGGGACTGCCGGCTCCTTCAGCAAGAAAATGGGAATTTTATTCCTAGCACATCTACCTGGTGACTGTTCCAAAGCACACAACAGTGGCCAACACACACAAAATGCAGTTTGGCGTGGTCCAAGGCTCCCTCCTGTTCCCTGCTGCACATAAAACGTACGACAGCAGAGCCAACTGAGACCCACACCTACCAGGTATCATCTCTTTTGCTACAGCAGCCACAATTTTTGGGGGGGTTTCTTTAAGTTATTAGGCTACCTAACTTTTTATTTTAACATCTTTCATTGCTACTCATCTGCATAGCTAATTGTTACACTGATGGTAATTGACTGCTATGAACTGCCGTAGCCAAGGTTAAATTAATTAAGACTGAAAAACAAGAGAACATTAATTAGGGGCAGGTGAAACTTGTCTCATGACAACTCCTTCCATCCTCTTTAGCTCGCGAGCAAAGCTGGGAAGTCCTACAGTCGGAACAGTGGCTCTTTCCCTTCTACTCCAGTTTTCTTACTGCTGTTTTTAACCAATCCTGACAGCTTCAAACAAGCCCCACACATTATGCTGGGTTTATTCAGAGGCACCACTAATGTGTTTGTGTAGCATGTTTCTAAGGCTACAGACCAAAACAGACCCAGGTAATAACTAAGTGCCAAAGAAATTTCCCAAGGGACCGACTTCAGGGCTTAGCTGCTGAATGCATCTTATTCAGAGAGAAGCTGAAGCTTCTTTAATTGCTCATCAATCAATTAACTGGACTCTCAGATGTCTAATTAAGCAGACAATTGGAATTAAACAAAGGGCATCTCTGAAAGGCCAGCTTCCCATCAGCAGGCGCGCCTTGCATTCAAGTGACCACTTGATGAAGGTGTGCTTGCCTGGAAGGAGCCCTGAGGTTTGCAAGAGGACTCGGCTGCACAGATTAGCATGCCTCTCAGCCGAACATATGAGGGTGCATGCGCTGGAAATCAATCCTTCGTAATACAGCTTAACCTTCACATCCTCCAACGGGTGCTTGCGAATGACTGTGAAGTGCAAAACGAATTAGCCCCGCTTAGCATAGAGGACTGTGACATAAACATTGAGGTGCACTCCCAGCCGCACATACTGAGGTTGAATATGTAAAAATGCTGTTAGCGGCCAAGGAGATGCAGAGGCAGTAACAGAGATGATGATGGCAACAACAAGGGCCGCTGGAGAATCTCCTCTGCCTCCTTTCCATTTGTTAGGAAGCACCAGCTGCAGAGGGCCGTGTCAAACGAGAGTTTGACCCTCTTATGCACAAGGATGCTGGCAACCCTGAAGGGGGAAAAGGCTATCAATCAGTGACCGCAGCAACAGGAGCAAGGAGTTCAGTGGTTCAGCCGCTACTGGTCAGGATACATCAATCAAAAGTGCTGCTGGGCAGGGGTGTTTCAGAGGAGGCGGCAAAGAAAGAAATATGTCTGCTTGCATGCAGCTGGGAAGCAAATGCTGGCCGGTTGTGAAGTGAACCTTCCCAGGATGAAACCAAGGTGGTTACTTTGACAAAGAAATAATCACGGTTCTGAAATTGTTCTGACGGCTGAACTCTCATGGTCAGTGAAAAGGTTATTGTGCTTTATGGCTTCAAGAAAAAGCAATAAGCAATGACCACAGCAACCTTCCATTCTTGGGTAGGAACCTTGAGGAATAATCAGAATATGCCAGATAAACAGCAGTGTAAGTAAAGAGGCAACAAAGCATAATGCCACTTTGCTTTGAAGAAGACTCTCCTCACTTATCCAACATAATAGTACTTGCTGAGAAGCTGGTCAGCACCTCTCTTTAGATTGGATCAGCTTACTCAACTGTATTGATAGCAGAACGTTTCATAAATCCCTCATATTATCTAAAGGGTGAAAGCATAACATTTTCAATCTGCAGGGTGGCTTTTGCAATGATTCGTGTACATGCATTCATTAAACATTTCAGTGGAATAGGTTGCCCATGCAACATGCTCAAATATGGCCCACTGAAGTGGATCTAAGGCAAAGTTCTCACAGACAATGGTTCAGGCAATAAGACTGGTTTCGGCCTGCAAGTGAGGGCTAACATGAGTGAATGCTCCTTTTCTGCAAAAATAAAGTGTAAAAAAACTAGATGCCAGGGGAAAGAGTTCTGACCTTACCCAGGAAGACGTTTCTGATGTAGCCTTTTACTCAGTATGCTCAATCAAGTGAGGCCCACACTTGCAAGCTGTACAGCCCAGAAACAACATTTACCATTTCTCCCCCCCTTTTTTTATTAAAGATTTTCTTGTTTTACAGAAGTATGTGTAATGTCTCTCGTATTTTTTCCATGTAACATTTTTACAAATCAGCTTCATTTGTTGAGACATTAGGAAGAAAAGGGGGGGGGGGAAGATGGGTGGGGAAGGGGGTGGGGTGGGGATGTTTCTATTTTGCTTAATGTATGTAGGGTTTAGTGTAAGCGTTGCTCGTGCAGGTTCTCTGCTGTTCATTTGTGTTTCTTTGGTGGTGAGTGAGGCTAACGTTTACCATTTCTGAGAACTACAAATCTAGCGAGATCTAAGGTTTTCTTTCCATTACACTTTTAGAGCAATCTTGAGTTTTAAAACAGAATCTGAACCCATACCATTTAACCATATGCCCTTTTACACCAAATGACACAGTAGCTTGGTTGCTTGTATAATCCTGTCAAGGAGCAAACAGGCTTTTACTGCACATTCCAGCACAGGTATGTGACAGTAAGTGGCAAAATGTTCATGCAAAGTATGGCATGGTTCAGGATGCTATGCAGATGATATCCCAGACCCTTGGGAAAGAGAAAAAGTGATTCAAGTTGCTTTTCAGTAGCCAATTTTATTCCCTGTATCCGCAAAGAGAAAAATTAATATCTCAGAAATTAATATTATGTTGTTTGTCTTCAGGGCAGTTATCTTATTATTTTGTACATCTTTCACAGCCCCCGTAAAAATGAGTGTGGGAGTCAAGGTGGTGCTGGTGTGCGTGGTCCGTTGCCCTGAATGCACATGGCACCTTTTGTTCCAATTTCTGGAACTTTGAGATATTATATTGTACCGTACTTTGCATACAGTCGTCTCCTTTTGAAAATAGGTGCCGGTCCTGAGCTGGTATTTTTAACTTCAGGCTTAGAGCCGTGTCCTGAATTGTGTCATTTCAATAACTCGGCGCTCAATGTAGCCGTAGCATTACAACAAAACTGACAGATGGAATGCAGAATGGTTGAGTTATATCAAAGATCTCACTTTGCTTAGTCAATAAAATGGAATCAGATATGTACTTGCTGAAGCAATATTACTGGCTGTGTTAGAATTCCAGCAAGCAAATCCAAAGCAGAGATTGAAATTTATTGACAACGCTCATGTTCACCCTGCATTTATGAAACATCCCCAAAAGAAAGGAAGATACAGCTTTAATATTATTGACACCTGTCAATTTGGAATGCCTTTGCATATTCTTGATAGTTAAAACAACAATTTCTCTTGCACAAGGGGTGGAATGAACACAAACAACATTGGGGGCTGAGGGGGCAGGCATCTAAAAGTAAGGCCTTGTGGTCAGGAGGAAAAGTGAAAAGTTCAATCCAAGCCAGGGACAAGAGAAGTAAGAAGTTGGCGTGATCAACTGCAGAAGACCAACAAGACTGAGGCAAATGGCACAGAAAAAGAAGGCTAACTCTCGAGAGCAGAATTAAACAATTGCCAGTAACTTCATGAGCAAGCAGAGCAAATCCATTCTGTTGGTCCTGAACATTAAAACTCCCAAGACAGCATTTTTTAAAAAAGAGACCCATGTTTATGTTCCACCATGGAAGGCTACAAGGAAAACATTCTCCCTGCTAATCCTCCTTTTAAACCACTCCACCTAGCACATTGATTAGCTTCCTACTGCTGTTCTAACAACTGCAGTACAATATGTTGCCTGTCACTGTTTAATATGAAGCACCAGTGCCAGAACACAAGTGCCTTTTCCTGGCTCACAACCAAATTCTTTATTTAAAGTGTTATTTCTGGAGCCTTTGCTTGCAGATTTGAAGTCAGTCTTCATATCTGTGGGAAGTAAGAGGAATTGCCCTCCAACCTTCTGTGTTACGTTCTCTCATATTACAAAGCCCTACTGTATCCCTTGTTGCCAAGCTCTTTGTTAACTATTTTGAATAAAGTAGATTCTTATTTCCCTACTGGAGCCAACAGCAAGATGCTGACTGGCTGGATCATATGAATTTAAGCAAATGCCTAAAGAGAACATTTAAAGGGACATAGGAAATAATAGTCTTGTGACACCTTAAAGGCTAATGACTTTTGCATA